AGAAGCTTCTTCAAAAAAGCTTGGAAGCACCTCTCAGGCTGGCCTGCAATCATGCCGTCCAATGTGGAGCTGTGCAGAAGCCACAAAGATGAACATTATCTTCTTTAGTCATCTCCCTTACTTCCTTCTCCATCTCAAGATCAGCCTAAAGGGTTTGATAAGGTGAGTGATAGTACACCCCCCCCTTCTAAGTAACCCTTAGGAGAGCTTGTCAATAGATGATTTCTTCAGCTTATTTGAAGATAGGGATCAGTTCCCACCTTCTTAGCTGTCATTAGTGTGCAGTTCACACTGGGATGCGCCTAGGGGTTGTCCAATGTTTGTATATGTTCTTAGAAGGGGAACGGGAAAGCTCTGTAAGATGCACATTACCCAAGATCACTGCTGGCATCTGATCAGCTGTAGAGCCAGTATAACAGGAGAGTAGATATTAAGCTTGATAAAATGAATGGGAGCCCGTGTTGATAATCAGCCCCCTGAATGCAACAGGAAGATGATTTATGGGAGATTACTGGCCAAAATGTCTGATGTGTGGGGCAGCCAATGTGCCGGAGAGACCCATCCCCAGTAGTTGTGTTTGATGTTGCATGTCAACTATGCCTGGGATTCCTCCCAGGACTGTCTGGTACCTGGGCCCATAGAGGTCTCAAACCATGGACCCAGGATATGCTATTTCTGTTTCTGTGCCTTTCCACTGCACAAGGGGCTCCTCTGGTATATATGTCCGGTTTCAATGCCAGGGCTTCTGGGGAATTCTTAATACCTTATGTTTGTCTTGTTTTTGTATCCAGTTTGTTGTGTGTTTTGAGGACAGAGGTCCTTTTCTTCTTTTTTGCCGTTGGTCAGCTGGTTATTGGTGGAAAGCTGACATTTGCCTTCTTGCTTGCATCCCTCTTAGTGGAACCTACAGCCTCTGCTTGCCACAAGGATGATGGCTCCTAAGAGCCAGTTTGGTGTAGTGGTTAAGTGTGCAGACTCTAATCTGGGAGAACCAGGTTTGATTCCCCACTCCTCCACTTGCACCTGCTGGATGAACTTGGGCAAGCCATAGTCCTCCTGACAAGAGCTGTTCTTGAAAAAGAGCAGTTTCTGCCAGAGTTCTCTCAGCCCCACCCACCTCACAGGGTGTCTGTTGTGGGGAGGGGAAGGGGAAGGAGTTTGTAAGCCGCCCTGAGACACCTTTGGGTAGTGAAGGGCGGGGTATAAATCCAATCTCTTATTCTCTTCTTCTTCTTCTAATGAGCTATTTTGGGAGCCCACAAGAATACCTTCTACGAATGTGCAGCCCTGTGTTACCTTACTGCCACTCTGGGGTCTACCTCACACCCAGGGCTCTATAGCTCCTTCAGCCTTCACCACACTGTTCTGAGACCCAGGCCCATAGCCACGGTGGGGCATTTGGGGACAGAGCCCCACCACAGATGAGCCCCACCCCAGGAGAATGCCAGACCCCCACCCCCAGTGCGCCTCTCCCCAGCAGGGTGGGGAGGTTGGGGAAGGAAGAAGGAGAAGGAGGAGGAGAGATTGGATTTATACCCCGCCCTTCACTACCCAAAGGAGTCTCAGAGTGGCTTACAAACTCATTTCCCTTCCCCTCCCCACAAAGACACCCTGTGAGGGAGGTGGGGCTGAGAGAACTCTTGACAGAAACTACTCTTTTTTCAAGGACAGCTCTGACAGAACTATGGCTTGCCCAAGGTCATCCAGCAGGTGCAAGTGGAGGAGTGGGGAATCAAACCCGGTTCTCCCAGATTAGAGTCCCTGCACTTAACCACTACACCCTTCCGCTTCTGGTCAGTTTCACTTCTGGTCAGTTTCACTGCCAATCAACTGTTAGGCATGCCTTCTCTCTCTCTCTCTCTCTCTCTCTCTTTCCTTCACTACCCCCCACCTCACACGCTGTTGGGTAATCTAATCAGGTTCCCCGCTCCCCTGCCCCAGCGCCCCGGCCCCACCAGCCAAAAATATCTGTCTATGGGGCTACTGAAGATTGGTGTGGGAGAGGATTTTGGCATTCTCATAGAGTTGCCTCTGCTGAATGAGCTGTGGTGGCACATAAGTGCTGAAAATTTCTGAAAGAACCCCTCTGTTGATGCAGGCCGTAAGCACCTCTGAAGAATCCTGTGTATTTAGTTAAACTGAATCTTTCGTAATTTCAAATCAACAATAAAATGTTTTTTGGTAGACATTCTTGAATCTGTGATCTGGACTTGGAGAGCTATAAACGCTTCCTTCCTTCCTTCCTTCCTCTCTCTCTCTCTCTCTCTCTGTTTCTGCAACAGCATCTTTGAACACCTGTGACAGTGATCTCAAAGTAGGGAAAATATCCTCAAGTTAAAATGAAATAGTCTGATGGGCAGGTTGGATGAAAACTGTAGCTTCCTCTTATTTATTAATTATTATTTATTCGTTTCAATGTACATCCTGCCTTGCCAGGGCAAGCTGGCTAAAGGCGGCGTACAACAAGTTAAAATACAATAAAAACAATAAAATACAACAAAAAATAACATAAACAACATAAATAACATTTTACATAAAGTGCTAGTCAGTGCAGATGGCGAGTGCTATAAAATGATCTGGTGTAGGAAGGCCAGTGTCCAAAGTTGTAACATGAGGGCCATAACATGTTCAGTTTCCGACAGCTCATTTATCAGTGGCGGCTCCTAACCGAAGGCCTGGTGGAAGAGCTCCGTCTTGCAGGCCCTGCGGAACTGTAAAAGGTCCCGCAGGGCCCTGATGTCTTCTGGGAGCTCATTCCACCAGGAGCCGCCACTTCATGAAAGTGATCTAGCTTTAAATCCTGACATGTAGAACGATCAAAGCAGAAACCCAAATGCTACTCGACTGCCCCCCTTGTCTCTAAGCACATACAGTTCTAAAGTGAAAAGCATGAATGACAAAAAGGTTTGAGTCTATGGTCGTAGGAAATGTATAGATTCTGTTATATTGAGACTATTTCTGCGTTTTCTTACCCCGCGTTTTTGGAACTCACTAAAACTGGGGATTCTGAAAAACGTGGGGTGAGAAGGAGAAAATTTTGGATTTGCACCTGGTGACGAAAAATCCACTGCGGAAAATTTCACACAACACGCAGTTTTAAAAACATCGATGCGGGGAATTTCACTACTGCGGAAATGGTCTGAGGCAGCAGATTAGGCTTCAAACACAAAAACAAGCACACAGTTTCTGAACTTTAAAATCCCAGACTTCCAGTGAAGCAGAAATGGTTTTGCACTGAACGTGAGCCTTCCGCAGCGATGGCCCAGACCCCCACCGAATCCAGAATGCTATTCCCAAGAGTGCCCAGCCGGATGGTTCCAGCAATGTCATGACTGTGGCAGAAAGGCCCGTTTATTGCTCACCCCCGCAACTGGTATTCAGAGACGTTTATGGAGGTTCTATTTAACTACCCCAGGTAAGAGTCGAACACAGAGCCATCCTCTAGGATTTTATCTGATACCCTTTTATTTATTTAGAAAATCATAGAATCATAGAATCACAGACCTGGAAGAGGCCATACAGGCCATCTAGTCTAACCCCCTGCTCAATGCCGCTTCTATGTGCCGCTTTTCCAGAGACCAGCTCAAGGTGGCTCACAGCTAACATAGTAATACAGAACCCATTCCTTCGGGTTCATTCCTTCAATGGATAAGAAATGGAAAAGGGGCCACAGATAATGACTAGGGCAGGGATTCCCCACATGGTGCTCGTGGGCACCTCGGCGCCCACCGACACCTTTCCTGGCATCCATCAAGTGTTTTTAGAAAGTGAGTGGAGCCCTGCGGTGTTCTTGGCCAGCAAGGCTTCTGATTGGCCACTGGAGATCTGACTGGCGGTGCAGAATACAGCAATGTTTTCAGTTGCAGCTAACCAATGGTGTGGGTTTAACTTTTCATCACTCTCCTCTTTCTAGTGTTTTTTTAAAATGATCCCTCTTCTCCCCTGTACTTGGGCTTCCTCTGGGTATGTGGTTGCACCTCCTGCAGCAGCAATTTTGTCATTGGCTCCACCTTCTGCAGTGGCCATTTTGTCACTGGCTCCACCTCCTGTGGCGGCCATTTTGTACTTGCATCCACCACTCCTTTCAGAATTCCAAAGGTGCCCATAGACTTTAAAGGGTTGGAGACCCCTGGACTAGGAGCCATGCTTTGCAGGTAAAAAACAACAACCCAAAACAGCTCTCAGTTAGTAGAACTGGACAAAGCTTCCCACCCATGTCCTTAGAGAGTGACACTGAGGTACAATAAGCAGTATTTGGCTGAATATGTTTGGTGTCGTGGTTAAGTGCACGGACTCTAATCTGGGAGAACCGGGTTTGATTCCCCACTCCTCCACTTGCACCTGGCTGGATGACCTTGGGCAAGCCCTAGTTCTGATAAGAACTGTTCTTGAAAAAAGAGCAGTTTCTGTCAGAGTTCTCTCAACCCCACCTACCTCACAGGGCGTCTGTTGTGGGGAGGGGAAGGGAAAGGAGTTTGTAAGCCACTCTTGAGAAACCTTTGGGCAGTGAAGGGCGGGGTATAAATCCAATCTCTTCTTCTTCTTCTTCTTAAATAACCAAGCCTGACTGTCCTATTATCAAAGCCATCTGCACTAGCCTTGTTAGTGAGCTCCTAGACATGGGAAAGCACAGCAGGTCTGTCATTTGTGCCTACGTTAGTCTGTTACGAGTAGCTTTCCTAGAAAAACAATCAAATGAGCAGAAAACAACAGTGATTACCTGTGCTAGACTGTAATACCTTTGGGGGCGAAATAATACAAGGAACTGACAGAGAATAAATGTAAGTGCCGGTAAGACCAGAAACTCTAAAGTCAAATATTCTTCTGAAAGTAGTTTTGGCCCGGGGGGGGGGGGGAGGAGTGATAACTGTGGCATTATGTGCAATTACTTACCGTGTTTGCAAGTCCCCAGTGATAATAATTGGTCTACCTGTTGACACACTATTCCTGCTCTTCCAGCTATAAATGCGGGTAACTGAATGGCACATGGGCATAATTACCGTCACTGATGGTGTCAGAGATGAGCTTCCCCACCAGGGTCCTGTCAATCACCACTCGCTCCAGCTGCGGCCCAGAAAGGCTTAGGGACACCAGCACACCTGAATGAAAGAGGAGCTGAAGCCAGACAGGAGGGAAGAAGGGGGGGAGAGACATGACATCAGTAGAAAATGGCATGTTCCATAATACCTTCTTACTATCTATATTTTCATACATTTCATCCACTAGAGCTTGGCTGACAAAACATATTAGATGCACCGCAGGATCTTTATTAGTGGGGGGAAAATTACTTGAGAGAAGGAAAAGGTAAAACATACCTAGAGTTTTGTATATGCCTACTATAAGTATGCATGAAATGCTTCACTATAGGATGTAATTCCCCCCACAATTTGCATGGAAAATAGTAACTGCAGATGTTGCCATTCATGGTTGAAATCCCTCCCCACGCTGCTGCCCTGTGAAATGCGGATAAGCAAAGAGACACCACGGCAAACAGACTCAAACTGGTAAGGTGGAGCTACTTGATAACCCATGCTTGTGTGCGCTACACATCGGTTAAAGCGTTCAGTTGCTCATGGGGCTGAGCACGATGGTAACGAAAAACATACTCCAACGGTAAAATGTATTTTGGGAAAACCCTGTTCAGAACCAGAATGGTTAGGGGAAGGGGGACTGAGAAAGCGGGGCCACAGAATTGCGCACGGTCACTGGCATGGTGACTAATTTAATTCCATACACACTTGCCGTTCTTAGTTTTGCCATGTTTGTGAGTTTTCTGTCCTTCTTGGTATTTGCACTATTCCGAAATTAGCTCGTATTGCCAGGTGGATTGTACTGAACTGTTTTTAATTGTCTTGTTTCGAACAGCTGCATTCGAAAAAGCAGTATATGAATAATTTTAATAAACAAAAGTAATTTCACACTGTAATACTACAGATGTTTAACCTTTTTAGGTTCGGATTTATTTATTTATTTTGATAATATGATTGTTCGGCCCTGACCTGGACGGCCCAGGCTAGCCTGATCTTGCCAGCTCTCAGAAGCTAAACTGGGTCAGCCTTGGTTAGTACTTGGATGGGAGACTAACAAGGAAGTCCAAGGTCACTATGCCCGGGCAGGCAATGGAAAATCACCTCTGATTGCCTTGAAAACCCTACAGGGTCATTGTAAGTCATCTGCTACTTGATGGTGCTTTCCACCACTACGATTATTCACTGATGCTATGGCTGTGTGATTTGATGTCAGTACTGGTTCCAATCCAGTCTGGTGTTGTGGTGAAGTGCGCGGACTCTAATCTGTGAGAACCGGGTTTGATTCCCCACTCCCCCACTTGCACCTGCTGGATGACCTTGGGCAAGCCATAGTTCTGTCAGAGCTTTTCTCTCAAGGACAGTTCTCTCAGAGCTCTCTCAGCCCCACCTACCTCACAGGGTATCTGTTGTGGGGAGGGGAAGGAGTTTGTAAGCCGCTCTGAGACTCTGAGTGAAGGGCGGGGTATAAATCCAATCTCCTCCTCCTCTTCTACATTTGGGCACATTCTGAGTAGCAGATTTCTACACCACACTTGAATTTGTTTAAGGACCCTGATGGAATTTGATGGAGTAAGTGAATTGTCTAAGCATGATGAGAGGCTGAAACAGGAAGGGGCGGGGAAAGTTGGATGACGCAACTGTTCAGCGCGATCCACTTCAGGGGACTGTGTCCCAGGTGAAACTGTAACAGAGTATACACCTGGAACAAAATTTAATCAGATCCGTTATTTGAGAAAGCATATGGGAAACGTGTTTGGTATAAGCACGGCGGTGCAGCGTGGCGGAGCCAGCAGGACGAGAGCCGGAGCTGCGGTTGGCATGTGGCCGCGCACCAGGAGAAGCCTGCCAGAGGGAGTCGCTGTAATAAGACCTGCACCGAGGCTCCAGGAGGTGGAAAGCCGAACAACAACACTCGGAGAGCCGAACAACAACAACAGAGCCCACTTGAAGAGCCGGACAACAACAACGGAGCCCTGCTGCCTGGGTGCCGGTAGGCAGTCACCTTCCCCCATATACTGTGGAGAAGTAACTTACTATGTAAACCACTCTGAGCCTGCGGGAATGGAGCGGTATAAAAGTCGAAAGTAATAAATAAATAAATAAATAAATAAATAAGCAAGCTAGCATTCACGTCAGAGAATGAAGGAAGATCTGCATGGTGAAAGAATTTTTTGTGGACTAAATCTGAACACCTAAAAGAGTTGTTCTGAATAGTGTGACTTCGAACTACTATACTCACACTTCTCTACATCCTTTGAAGAAGACATTTTGTGTATTCATCTGTACGGTACAGTCCTTGTGTGCATACAGTATTGCAGTGTACATTAATTTGCTTATAATAAGAGGAATAACTGGATTTTATGCACAGTCCTGGTGCACAGTTCTTTTTGTTTACTGACATTATTTTAAAGCAAACAAGGTGGGAGATAACGGACAAGCAGGAATATATTTTTTTGACGGTTTGTGGGCAACAGACGTCTGCCCTTTAAAAAGTTGGTAGCCAGATGAGAAAAGTTTGAAAGAACTGTGCTCTCTGGTACAATAATACGTAAGCCTACAGCCTTCAGCAGTGGCACGGTTTCTTTTTTTCTTTCTTTTGGGGTTTTTTGTTTGTTTGTATTTTTCATATGTGCATGTATGTGTGCGTCTGGAAGTAATGGTGACCTCTGGTGACTGACCCCTACTGGGGGCCTGGAGGATATTCAGAGAGGTGGCTGAACAAAGCCTGCCCCCGCCTCCCGACGGCTGGTATTCCCTGGAGATCTCCCATCCCTGCTGAGCTTCCGAGATCTGACAAGATCGGGCTTGCCTGGGCTATCCGGGTCAGAGCCGTTGCACAGTTTCTTGTCATAGTCACCAGTGGAATTATTACTCCAGGTGTTTTAAATCTTTGCAAATAAAGATCTAGAATTTCTTCTTAAATGACATAAACACTAAAATCAAAGCCAAAACACACAGTTTTCAGTCCTTTCTGCAAAATCGAATGAGTGTGCTTTTGGAGGATCATTTGGAAGGTTTTTAAAGTTCCACCGGTCATGGCAGACGTCCTTTAAGGTTCTGTCCTAGTAAAAATGTTAGACACGGTCACAGTCTTCCTGCTTTCATTGCCATCTTTCAAAACTTCAGTCGAATCTTATGATGCAGTTGGATTAGATAAAATCGCAATTTATTCCCCAGTTGATAATGTGAACTTACAGCTAGGCAATGTTTGATTAGTGCTTGTAAACTGCCCTTCAAATATAAAATAAAAACATTTTTTTAAACAACAAAAATCCCTAGAAGTAAAAAGCAGGCAGGTTTGCAAGCCGTGGAGGAAAAAGTCAGCAGTCCATAGTATTAAAGAAAACAGCATTACTTTTTTTTAAACAATCATGTCTACCAAAATAGCAAGGTACTGCAACTAGGTACTACATAGCACTAGCAGACAAAATACCAAGCTGCAAACATCAAGTAACACAAAAACAAGGAAACAAACGTGAAGAGTGTAAGAATTTTGTTTTGGAATTTCTATACCACCCTCCCCCAAAGGGCTCAAGGCGGTGTACAACATTGTTTAAAACACAGTTTTACAGACATGTAGAAAATTAAGTCTAAAACCCATTTAAATTAACATTCTGAACAATTGCAACATTAAAGAATATTCTGATGGCATAGGTAAATTATTAATTCCTCTCTGGGGGGGGGGGGGGGGAGATCAGGGCCAGATATGATGGTAAACAATTGCTATCCTCGACCATAGGCCTGGTGGAACATCTCTGTTTTGCAAGCCCTGCAGAGCTCTCTTAAGTTCCACAGGGCACAGATATCACCAGGTAGAGAGTTCCACCAGGCAAGAGCCGGATGTCCTTTGGGCCAGGGACCACCAGTAGATTCTGAGGCGGTCCTGCAGGTACACTGGTCCCAGACTGTGTAGGGCTTTATAGATCAAAACCAAAACCTTGAAGCAGATCCGGTACTCAACTTGGAGCCAATGCGACTGATGAAGCCCCGACTGGATATGTGCTGTTGTTGGGGTACCGTATGCACCTGCGTGCTGCTGCATTTTGGACAAGCTGTAGTTTCCAGGTCAGCTTCAAGGGTAGCCCCACGTAGAGCGAGTTGCAGTAATTCAACCTAGAGTGATGGTTGCATGGATCACTGTGACTAGGTTGGAATGGGAGAGGTAGGGGGCCAGCTGCCTGACTTGGCACAGTTGCAAAAACACCAGTCTGGCAACCTTTGTGATAGTTGGTGCCGGTGTTAAAGGCACACCGTCAAGACCTGGGAGCTGGTACCCTGACCTTGGACTGCCCCCTCCCCAGCCACAGGAACTCTGTCTTCAAAGGATTTAGTCTCAGATGACTCCGCTTCAATCATCCAACCATGGCGGCCACCCCGGCAGCCAGGTTTAGCGAGACGGTATCTGCCCTGCCGCCCATCAACAGATATAGCTGGGTATCATCAGCATACTGGTGACAACCCAGCCCGAAACTCCAGACCAGTTGTGTGGATAGTATCGACCTGCTGCTGAATCTTTGCAGGTAAAAGTCTTTAGGAAGATCTTTGCAGGTAAAAGTCACTTGTATTATCTAATAGTGTGTGTGGGGGGGGGGGTTTGCTGTCAAGTCACAGCCAATTTATGGAGACCTCCTAGGGTTTTCAAGGCAAGAGATGTTCAGGGATGGTTTGCCAGTCCCGACCTCTGCACAGTGACCCTAGATTTCCTTGGTGGTCTCCCATCCAAATAATGACCAGGGCAAACCCTGCTTAGCTTCCAAGATCTAATGAGATAGAGACAGCCTGGGCTATTCAAGTCAGGGCATCTAATAGGTAGACTGCTTCCCAGGTGGTCACTCAGGCAGCTGATTCCACCTTTGAACCACTCTGACCATGAAAACGCTTTTCCTAATATCCAGCCGATACCCTTTCTGCATGCAATTTAAACCCGTTGCTTCAGGTCCTCTCCTCTGCTGCCAACTGGAACAGCTCCTTGCCCTCCTCCAAATGACATCCCAACCCTTAAACATTTTATTAGGATATATCCATATTACATCAACTTTTGTAATACATATATTTCTACCCTATATCCTACCCTCCCCCCCTTTC